ACGACACCTTTTATGGTTTATATCTTGTTGCAGCCTTGATGTAAGAAGACCACGGCAACCTTTAGGCTTATATCTTGTTGTCACTTGAAATAAGGACGCACGACACCTGAACAGGGTTTATATTTGTTGCTTGATGTAACGACTTTGCACAACACCTTTAGGGTTTACATGTTGTTGCAATTCAGTAACAAGAGCCAGGACACCTTTGAGGTTCTTATCTTGTTGCACTTGATGTCTTGTTGCACTTGATGTAAGAAGAGCCACGACACCTTTAGGGTTTATATCTTGTTGCACTTGATGTAAGAAGAGCAACGGCACCTTTAGGGCTTATATCTTGTTGCACTTGATGTAAGGACTGCCACGACACCTTGAGGGTTTATATGTTGTTGCACTTGATGTAACGACTGCCACGACACCTTTAGGGTTTACATGTTGTTGCACTTCATGTAAGAAGAGCCACGACACCTTTAGGGTTTACATGTTATGGCACTTGATGTAAGAAGAGCCACGACACCTTTAGGGTTTATATCTTGTTGTACTTGATGTAAGGAGTGCCACGACACCTTTAGGGTTTATATCTTGTTGCACTTGATGTAAGAAGAGCCACGGCACCTTTAGGGCTTATATCTTGTTGTACTTGATGTAAGAAGAGCCACGGCACCTTTAGGGATTATATGTTGTTGCACTTGATGTAAGGACTGCCACGACACCTTTAGGGTTTGTATGTTGTTGCACTTGATGTAAGGACTGCCACGACACCTTTAGGGTTTACATGTTGTCGCACTTCATGTAAGAAGAGCCACGACACCTTTAGGGTTTACATGTTATGGCACTTGATGTAAGAAGAGCCACGACACCTTTAGGGTTTATGTCTTATTGTACTTGATGTAAGGAGTGCCACGACACCTTTAGGGTTTATATCTTGTTGCACTTGATGTAAGAAGAGCCACGGCACCTTTAGGGCTTATATCTTGTTGTACTTGATATGATGATGATGATGACGACGACGATGATGATGATGATGTGGTGAGGAGGCGCGTTCGAAAGCGATGCATGAGAGCGCGTTCCGAAGCGATGCCGGAAGACGCGTTCCGAAGCGAGGCCCTTGCCTACTGAAGTCCTCAACCAGCACTTCTTCGTCACGTTCATGAAGGCATCCTTTGTCGTCCTGGCTTTGCCTAGGGGTTTGCCTGAGTCTCAGGACACTGTTTACACCAAGATCAAGGTTTGGGGTCACTTGGCTTTCAAGGGCTGGCTCCCAAACGACATGGTGGTTCAAAAACTCCTTGATGCATGGCTTCTTGCTGGACAGATGATCGGGGACTCCCCCAATATCCGTGCTGTTGGCTTTAGTGGAACCATGAATCCTGACTTCAAACTTGAAGATTATGCCAAGCATGCTGAAGACGGAACACTTCGCCTGACAGTTCACTTTGTGTTGGGTCTGAGAGGCGCTGGTGTCCCTCGGGCTCCGCGTCTTTTGCGTGGCAGGCGTGGGACAATGTGCACTGCCAAGGGGTCGGATGTACGCCCTGGTGTCCCTCGGGCTCCGCGTCTTTTGCGTGGCAGGCGTGGGACAATGTGCACTGCCAAGGGGTCGGATGTACGCCCTGGCGTCCCTCGGGCTCCGCGTCTTTTGCGTGGCAGGCGTGGGACAGATGTACGCCCTGGCGTCCCTCGGGCTCCGCGTCTTTTGCGTGGCAGGCGTGGGACAATGTGAGCAGCCAAGGGGTCGGATGTACGCCCTGGCGTCCCTCGGGCTCCGCCTCTTTTGCGTGGCAGGCGTGGGACAATGTGCACTGCCAAGGGGTCGGATGTACGCCCTGGCGTCCCTCGGGCTCCGCCTCTTTTGCGTGGCAGGCGTGGGACAATGTGCGCTGCCAAGGGGTCGGATGTACGCCCTGGCGTCCCTCGGGCTCCGCCTCTTTTGCATGGCAGGCGTGGGACAATGTGCACTGCCAAGGGGTCGGATGTACGCCCTGGCGTCCCTCGGGCTCCGCCTCTTTTGCGTGGCAGGCGTGGGACAATGTGCATTGCTGGTGGCTTTTGCGTGGCAGGTGTGGGACACTGTGCTCACACTCATTCACACTCACTCATTCACTTTTACTTCTTTTGAATCACTGACTCATTCACTGAAATCACTCATACCCACTCACGCACTCACATCACTCACTCAATCACTCCATCACTCACTCACACCCAGTCACCTTCACACCCTCACTCACTCACTCACTCACTCACACACACACACACTCCTCCTCACTCACACTCACTCACCTCACTCACACTCACTCACTCACTCACCCACCCACTCACTCACCCACTCACTCACTCACTCACTCACCCACTCACCTTCACTCACCCACCTCACTCACACCATCACTCACTCACTCACCCACCCACCCACCCACTCACTCACTCACTCACTCACACTCACTTACTCATTCACTCACCTGTGCATGCGCATACATACACACATACACAAAAACTCACCCACCATCACCCCTCCATCACTCTTATACTTCCTCTTCCCTTCTTGCTTTTCTATGCTCAGTCTAAGTCTAGAGAAGTTGGTAACATGTGGGGTTATCCGGTCCTATAATTCTGGCATGGCAGTGTTTAAAAAGAATGACAAGGTCCCTGCCGAGACCTATGGCTGCTGTACCTAGGTTTCAAACCTCAAGAATGCCCTGGTCACTGATGAGACCTTTTGCGTTCCTATGGAATTTACAAGCTGCGCTGGAAGATGTATCAACCCAAACCGAAAATGGACGTGATCAAACTATTCACCTTTTGAACTGCAGAGTTCAGATGCTGCAACAGCAGGTGAACGACAAAGACGAAAGAATCCAAGATCTTGAAAATTTGGTTCACTACTACGAGCAAGATGTGACATCAACCTCTTTGTTTGTGAGCCGAACTGGAGCACGATACCATTTGCATCGTAATTGTCGAGCGCTTTTACAAAAGAACCAAGCCGGCATACGAGATTTAAAATGCTGTAGCCAATACATTCAGACATTACGTGACAACAACAACCTGGGTGGACCGTGGTGAATTTTTCTTTCTTCTCCACCGGTGTGAGTTTGGTGCCACCAAACTGATCCATTTACCACTTTGCCACGTTGGAACCACCACATGCAGCTGCAGAGCCACATTGGGCGTTCTCGACGCGGCCTCTTTGGCTTTTACGTATTTTGCCTCTGGACAACGATTCCAGAGGGCCCTTTTTTGAGCCTAGTATTCGAAGCTATGCATAATAAAACAGATAACACTCCTGCTTTGCATTTCGTGTTTGCACTTAGAGCGGCATAACACAACAAAATATCTTTCCATATCTTCACATTTATTTTATTCCAAAATATTCCAATATTCTTAATTATAACCCCCAACAAATATGTTGTTAGGAAATTCTTAATAATTCCTCAATTTTCTCTTAACCAATAAATAATATAAATAACGAATATCATCCACCAATAATTCCGATATAATATCTATTTTCATATAATTATATAAATATGTTAAAATATTGCAATAAAAATGGCAAAAATAGCATTCTTTTTTTATATCTAAATAACAAAAAAATAATGTATAGTTATAATTAAATATTTCAAAATATTAATTTATTTACATTAATTTTTAAATTCATTCTAAAAAAAAATATTTAAAACCCATACTAAATCCATATAATTAATTTCTTATATATAATATTTATATTATTTTAAAAATATATTTATTATTCCTAATTATTCCTATATATTTTATTTCAAAATTAAAAAATTATATAATATTATACCAAAATCATATTTTAAATTAATATTAATTTTCCCATCAAAAAATAAATTTAAATTAATCAAATATAAATAAATATATATATTTTATAATTAAAAATAAATTATTTAAATATATATAAATATAATAATAATATATAATAATAAATTTTAATAATTTAGTAGTCGACGGATGGAATCCAAAAATATCTATATTTATGCATTTATTTTTCCGATAATTTTCCTAATTTGTAAAAATATATTCAATATTTACGTTTTTAGGGCATTTTTTTGTTTTTTTGTAAACATATATTTTTTACGATGATATATATCACCATTATAATTATAATCAACAAAAGAAACCACAGCAATAACAGCAGCAGCAACAACAACAGCAACAACGACGACAACCAACCAAAGGGGATCAGGAACCCCTGGGGCATCGCCAATGCGCGAAGCTTTAGAGTTTGATGGAGATTGACCCTGGACTGGATACACATCCAAAAAAAACACCGCTGCGTGCGGTTTTTTAGGCCATTCGGCAATTGCTGCTACCGTCGCACCGTTGCGCCGGTGACATCCTCCTCAGAGTCATTGGCTGGCGTGACGTCTAGCACTCAGCTTGTGTGAGTGTTCACCACTGATTCCAGGAGTGAACATGCCAGAAATCAATCAGACAGAAGTCTGGAAATCTTGCTTCTAAGGCTTGGGATCATCAGGAGCAACGATCTGAAAATTATATCCGTTGAATCCGCCTCCTTTACTTCCTCCACGGCTCCAGTGTTCACACTGGGGGGGGTATTCTGCCAATGTTTTGCGGTACCCATGGGCTTGATGCAACTCTATCGGTGTATTGATCATAAGAATCTCCACTATTCCTATTCAGCATCCTGGTTGTCTACCCCGAACTGATGGTTCACGACCCACTGCCTATTGTCAATATCATTGGGTTGGCTTAAGGTGTTCGAGCAAAAACCTGGAGGAACGATGGTGCTGACCGTGTTGATGTACCTTCTGGGGGAGACCCACCAAGATAGAAAAGTAAACCGTGCTAGTTTGATGATGCTTTAATTTACTTTCCATATTTTGGGGTATCTCTATATATCACTGTAAGTACAGCTACCCTCCAGCAAAGACACGTAGCAAAGGGAAATCCCCTAGAAATGGAGGTGTTAACAGGAAAATCATCCTTTATATTGGCCATTATCCATTGCCGATTCACTGTAGGTTTCCCTTCATCAGACTCTAGCAGACTGGCTAAGCTGTTCACTCAAGGGGGGATCACTTGGCCAAATGGACATTCATCAGTCTGGCCATTTGGACGAGCACTTCGTTGAGCCTTAGCACATGGCAGTTGGCTGGTGGGAACTGGTCAAGAAAAAAATGGGTCCGGGCCCTGGGAACCACAGATCTGCTCCATCTTGCAAATTTGGGATGTACTGTAAGGTGGTTGACAGGATGGTTGATAAATCAGGTATATCCAGATATGTGGCAATGGCTTCTCATATATACATCGTTAATTACATCGGCTTATCATTACTATATACATTGTTAATTACATTGGCTTATCATATTTCCAAAGTTTGGCAATGTGTCAGGTCGCAAATTTCGACAGATATACCGATATTGAAATATCCAACCAACAAAGGGACAACGAGCGACAACGAGGTTCCATTCATACTCTGATACATAGATCCCAGTTGTGTTTTTTGGTAGTTCCCGAGCGACTTATTCCCAATATCCATGGGATATGAATGGGATATTGATGGGACATCATGTTTGTTCATATATCCCTGATGAAAAGCTGTTGTTCGTTTACAACTATACCACATCATGCCCAGATCATGCCCAAATATATGAAAAAATATCAAAAGTTTGAAACTATCTTTGGAATGGTTGTATAATATATTGTGTACTCATGCATGGCTGCCAAACTCTATGGTGAGATTGGGAAGCGAGGTGATCTTTTGTTAAGATCTGTGCCATTTAATTCGAATCGCTTTGCAACGAGAATTGCCCACTGCCACGGGCCTACTTGGCCCAACCAAAAGCCGACTGGGGTCAAACTTGGCTGTCTTTGGCCTTAAGTTGGGCCGAGCAGGAACCCAACTTCGTCGTAACTTGCGCCGTGCTCGGGCCAGTTGGCTCCAGGTCGGGCCGAAGTTGGGGCCTTGCTGGCCGAAGTTGACTTCAAGTGGAGCCGATGTTGCGGCCATGTCCAATCGAAACGGTGCATTTGGGCGATGTTGGGCCGATATGCAAATGTGCAAATTACCACAGTCCCATGCACTTTTTGGCGGCCGGCTGGGTCGAAAATCCCCCCACAGCTGAAGCTGTACCAGACTGGCAGATCGGTCCGTTCGTATCACTCGCTGCTAATATACCACGCTTCGGCACCTTCGTTGCGGGCGGATTTGATTTGCTTCTCTGGATATATCTCGTTGGATACATCTCGTTGTTGAATGAATTAATATATCTGTTGCGATATATCTGGATTAAAATCCCCATCTGCAGTATATCTATGGATATACCATCATGCCAGTCTAGCTGGGCAAATCGCGATCTGCAACCGCATGTTCTTGGTTGTAACCATATTAATCATGTCCCATCAACCCCATGTTTAGCTGTAATTTCATGTACCATCATACTCGCGTGAGCAGTGTTCCAAAACCTCTGTCATCCGTTTATACTGGTTTGTTGAGAATGAGGTTCCCATGATGAGTCAGCTCACAATTCCCCGGTAGACCAAGGTGTATACGCAGACCTAGACCCTCCGAGTAACTCGAACAAATTAGTCATATACCCATTATTTTAGGATCTTTTAACATCCTTACGGCTACTTGGAGGGTCTAAGTATCAGTAAATATAAACTGCAGATCTGCAACTCTGGGTCGCTGTCACGGGTAATGCGCTCCTGGGCGGCATGACATCAGAATTTTGGATGGGGATCCACGCACATATCTGGGTAAATTATAATATTTCACTAACCTGAATCTTGAGGCCATAAAAGGGGATGATTTCCCTATAAAAACCATGATTCCAGTGAGGGAGAACAGTGAGGTCGATATATTTTACCCAGATGTATATATATATATATATACTGGTTGGTGGTATACCTACCCCTCTGAAAAATGATGGAGTTCGTCAGTTGGGATGATGAAATTCCCAATATATGGAAGAATAACATTTATGTTCCAAACCACCAACCAGGTATATGTATATATATATATGATTCTACAAAAATAAGGGTGTAAAATGGTGCAAACCAGCTATTTGAATGATCTAAAATGGAGACAATGGAGACATGATGAGACATATAAACAATAAATAACAATAATATGTATGGGTAAACATCATAATATATCTGACTGAATAATCTAGTGATAACATAATGGTAATAATAAACAACCTCAAACCAGCTCATGTCAAGCTGGTTGCCATTTCTGACCATGATCTGGTGATGACGTCAACATAATTTGAGTGAAAATACCAAAGGTAGCTGCATGACAATCCGTGGGAGTTGTAACCATCTGAAGCTTCAAGCTTGCGATGTTCTAGGCTCTGAACCCATCGACATTACAGATATGACGATCTGTTTTTTGGTTCTCTGGCCACAGTGAAGTTGATGGTATTTCTTCCCTAAATGGTAAATGGTAAAGCCAACATGGGAAAATACCAAAGTAGCTAGTAGGTTTTCATGGAGGTTGCCATTTGAACAACGTCCTCAGTTCGTCGCTTCTACATGTTTTTTATGTTATATAATATGGGAAACAATGGGGGCTAGTATTGATCACTATTAATCGTTATTCCCAACAAAAAACAGAACAAAAACACTATGAAGATAGTAATAACTATTAATCACAATTACCACTACTTATGTCCTGTAGCTTTGTATATATATATATATATCATGTTAGTTAATCAAGTTAGTAATTTGGAGAGCAGGCATTTCAATAGTGATAATTATCATACATCTGATTAATATCTATTAATATCTATTAGCAATCACTATTCATATCTATTAGCAATCACTATGAATCACTATATCAGGACCACTATCATCCATAAACAATTACTATTAATCAATACGAATCACTATTAATCACTACTAATCACTATCATCTATTAGCAATCACTATTGATCGCTACTTATCACTGTTAATCACTATCACATACTATCATATACATTCATATCCTATCATAACCGCTATTAATCAATATAAATCACTATCAATCGCTGTAAATCACTATCATAGACTATCCCGCTCCCAAAAAACCTCTCCGTTGAGCATCGAAGAAGGCCACCGAGCTCTGAAGTTTGGGCTCATCGAAGCCGCCGATCACACTGCGAGCAGCCTTGCCCGCCTTCAGGTGCCTCGACGTCGCTGCAAAACGCTGATGAAAACGGCCGGGAAAATGTGCTTTGAACAACTAACAAGATGGAAAAATGGAGATTTACCTCCCTGAAAACTGGAAAAATGGAGATTTAACTCCCTGAAAACTGGAATTTACACTTCAAAAACCGTCAAAAAATGCAACATTGGGATTAAAGCAGCAGAAATGATGGTCTTTCACCACCAAAACATCTGCATTTTGGACCAGCAAAATGGTGGAGTTTTACCACAGAAAAATAGATGTGTCTACCGTCTACCATCAAAAGGGCGGAGTGTGATTTTTCACAAATAGGAGGGGATTGAATCAACGCTATATTTGTCAACCAACCTGGTCGATATTTCGGAATTGACGGAAACACTGTACCTCATGGGGATATCGTCTGGTGTATCACCCGTGACTGTGGAAACTTGAAGAAATATCTACATGATCGTGCAAAAAAACATCAGAAAACATCATGTTCAGCAACATACGTCTGCAAGCAACAATAACAACCGACAGGTGTATCACCAAATTAAGTTGGTATAACATTGGGAAACAAACAAATAGCATCGATGATCAAATCTATCTTCCGAAACAAATCCGAACATGATGAACAAACTGTGTCTGGATGGGTCCTTGGCAACCTTACAATTGTTCAGCCTCGTTCACCCTTGTTTAATAAGCCCAACCCCAGTTTCATTTACTGTACCTTCAGTAACAAATTACCAAAGGGTAAAATATCATCCCATTATTCACCATTGTTAACCCATTGTTACCCTCTGGTAAACTAACATAACTATGGAAAATCACCATTTTTAATGAATAAATCCACTATATATAAATGGCTATTTTCCAGTTCGCAAACTGTTTAGTTTACCAGAGGGTAAATCCCATTGTCATCCCATGAAATTCACCATTGTTAACCATAGAAAATCACCATTTTCCTAGTGGTGAAAAATCACCATTTTCCTATGGTTTTCCTATGGTTTTCCTATGGTTTAAACCATCAAAAAACACCATTAGACCACCATCCCATCAAGTTCTGACGACCCGCTCTAGGACGGCTGAGAGAATGGAGAAGTAGTTTTGTCGCAGGTCCACGCCCTCCGACTCCTGGGGATCATCGCTGCCGAAGCCAGACATCCAACAGCGGGATTTCCAGAGGTGTATCATGACATATCCATATTATCTACATATCATGTTATCTACAAATAACATGTGTATATATATATATACACATAATGTTATATATATATATATACACTGTATATACAAGTCAGAGAAACATTATCCCATCACTCATCACTGGCTCACCATTTCTTGTGGTTGGAGACAAGCAGCGTACTTCAAGAAGGCCAAGGCCTCCTCGTCGGAACCTGAAGAAAAGCCGATCAGCATCAAAAAAAACCTTGGAATTCCGGTGATGAATCTGATGAATTAAACTTAAACCTGTTTTTTGGTATACCTACCCCTCTGAAAAATGGAGTGAAAGTCAGTTGGGATGATGAAATTCCCAATATATGGAAAAAAACATGTTCCAAACCACCGATCAGAAACTGTTTCTATTATAAGACCATCTCATCTTGACGATACGTATGAATGTTGCTATTCCTTTCTAGGTAAGGATGATGGTAAGAACAAGCAAGTTTGTCAAGGTTCCGGCATCTCTAACAAGATGCCACATATATTTCAGTTCAAACTTAGACGCATGCATTGGCAATCATTTTGGGTATGACTCAAACCGATACCCTGGTGAACTCTGATTGCCGGTCATTGGAATGTTGAGCATCACAAATACAGGGACAGTACATATTATATATATTGATATATTGTATAGATATGTTATGATATATTAAGATATTGACCTTATTGACCTCATGACTATTTGGATATGGGACACAATTTCGACGGGATGGATCATTTTGGACTGAGGCACGAATGGCATACTTCCGATTCATACCTCGCAGCGGGGTCTCCCAGCGCAGTTGCACCAGGAACTTGGCGAGTCTTTTTGTGAATTGGGATTCAATGCATGCAAAAAACTACAAAAATCTGGGCAAATTACAGTGTAGTAATTGATTACTCACCAATTTGGTTGTAGTAATTGAATGTAATTGACCCAAACCAATTGATTACTAACCAATTTAGGTCTGGTTCCTCTTATATCAACCAATTACAGTGAGGCCGACAGGTGACGTACTTCTGTTTTGTTCAGGGAAAAAAAACCTGACCAAGTGGATTTGTCTGAAAGATTAGGAATCCGATTGCATATCATAAGTTTCTCCCTATATATGAATGGATTGATGGTCATCCAAAAAATATGGCTATATATATATATGTATATATATATATACATATATATATATGGATGTACTCAATCCACTATTAAAGTCGCAATTCTGTCTATCCCATTTTCAAACAGACTCAAGTATTTGTGGAAGCACCAGGGTCGGCATCACACCCGGACTTCATGATTGGACTGGACCTGATGAGAAAAAAAACACAAACACCATAATATCAAACCACCAACCAAGATGAAACCTATATGAATTGTAGTTTACTAGTTTACTCATGTGGTTGGTGGCATTTTTTCAAGCCCCGAAAGATCTGCAAAATCATTGGGATCCCATGTAAAACCATCCTTTTCTGAACATCAACCAGTTGAAACCACCAGATCTGCGGCCGGCGCTGCTACTGCCCCGTTCGATGTTGTTTTTCACGTAGGGCGGAGATGGGATCCTGAGGCGTTCCGATGTCGACTGTATACAGAATTATAGATATTCATAGTAGTCATAGTAGTCAAATAGGATATTCATAGATATTCATAGTAGTCAAATATAGAAATCTATGACATTCTATGATTGTGATGACTATGATCATCTATGATTCGTCGTTTGGTACGGATTCATTCGTAGAAGTCAAAAAGATGTGCTAGGGAATTACCTTCTGGATCTTTTTAGGGACCCTATTTTTCAGCCATTGCTTCAGCAATATACAATGTGGATCTATGTGGCTCCTAAAATTGGGCCACCCCAAAAAATCCAAGGGTCCCAATGGGACCCATGGGAATTCCAGGATCCTAAACTGGAGGTACTGTACCATATAAGGCCATATGTTGTAGGGATATTCCATTTTAGGATCCTGGAATGGCCATTGACAATGGGACCCATTGGCAACTGGAGCTTCGAATCCTCAAAATGCTCGGAGATTGTGAGGGTCGCAATACCTGGATCTGTTGCAAGCGGACCAAGCGTCACAAACCACATCCAACAGGAGGATTTCCTGACAGCGACGATGTTGAAGTAAAACTGGATGGTGGTCAGCAGTGCATTGAGCATGAAATCACTCGCTGGACTACTTACCTTGCTGTCAACCCATGTTTAAACGCATCGGGAGGTACCATAAGGCATGATAGGGCCAGCTTCAAACAACATTGAGGAATCACACTCAGGATTGTCCAGGGGCGGTTCTAGTCTTAAGCCTCGCTTTTTGAGAAGCCATTTTCCATAGCAACTTGTTACATTACCAGAGGTTAAATCCCATATTATATCATATTATATCCCAATTATCATCTCAATGAGTATCCCAATTATTATCCCAGTGGCATTCCTATACAATAATATTTTGTCTGGTATCCCAGCAGGCAAAGTGATCAAAAAATATCGTGTAGAATCCAAAGCTTGGACAAAGTGAAAATGTGGTGCCAATAAAGTCATCATTTATAAGTTTATCTTTAAAGCGATCCACAACTTATAGTCATCATGTATTAGGTTATCAATTTATAAAATCATCATTTAACGTTGAAGGTAGTCATCAACTATAAATCATCTATAAATGGGCCATCATATCAATAGCTATGTTAAATTACCAGAGGGTAAATTTCTATCCAAGAAGGTTATCATCGTAGCCATAAAGTACCATGCCTTAAAAATAAGATAACATTTAAGGTTACCCTCTGGTAAACTAACATTTTGCTATGGAAAATAATTTTTAATGGGAAAACTCACTATTTCTATGGCCAGTTTCAATAGCTATGTAACAAATTACCAGAGGGTAATATCCCATATCATCCCATGAAATTCACCATTGTTAACCATAGAAAATCACCATTTTCCTAGTGGTGAAAAATCACCATTTTCCTATGGTTTTCCTATGGTATACCACATTCTATCAAGTGATCTGGGTAAATTATAATAATTCACTAACCTGAAATAAGGCCTTCTTCGGAAGATGATTTCCCTTGCTAACCATGAATTCCAGTGAGGGAGAACAGTGAGGTCGTTATAATTTACCCAGATAAATTGGTTATAAACCCATTAACATCCATTAACTATAGATATATCACCTATAAACCATAGTTATTGACCATAAAATCCCATAAAATCACCAGTTCTATCAAGTGATCCAATGCTTAAGACACTTGCTCCGAAAAAATCGGTGTCCTTCCGCTTTGGATCTCGCCCAAAGCTCGATGAAAGGTGCCATTCCTAGGGAACACCGCACGCGGAGTCACGTCACGCGTTGCGTGAGGCTGAAAAAACAGGGCCACCGCATTTCTTGGAAACAGGGTGGATGGGATGTAGTGGGATGTCATCAGCGTGATATTATGTGAGTTAATTGATGGGATTTAATGGGATTCACAGCATCAAAAATTGATGGTGAGGCGCACACACCCTTTACGGCTCACCGTCTGAGTTGAACCTGGCTTGACTGCTCTCCATCTTTCACCATCACTCCAGCAGCTGAGTACAAACATCCTCTTACAACAACTTTCTGAAGGAACTTTTGCATTAGCAAAAGAGGTATATGATATATATATATATATATTATATTATATTACATATTATATATATATATTGTATATACTATATATATATTATTATACTATATTATATATGATAGTGTATGATATTATTTTGTTTCATATTATATTATATTATTTTAGAATAAATTATATATTAAATATTTTTTTCTTATGTATTAATATATATAATATATAATAAATAACATATAATTTATAATATCTAATGAATAATATATAATATGTAATATGTAATTTATAATATTCAATATATAATATAAAATGTTCAATATATAATAAATAATATATAATATGTAATATGTAATTATATGCTATATGTCATATATTATATGTTATATATTAAATACACGTATATACACTCAGTATGAATATTTCCAACCAGCACAACCCCAGATTCAAAACAGGACCATCCGGAATTTAATGGCCTGTTGGACTTCCGGACAGCATCACAAGTACATCCTGAACTGGCTACTGTAGTGCTTTAAAATCATTCCAAACAGATTGTATGGTCAACTGGCACCATGATTCGGCATCATCATCATCATCATCATGATCATCACCATCATCATCATCATCACCATGGTTATCATCATGACAATCTAACATATAAAAAACATATACATATAATGATATATGCATACAATGATGTGTGTATATATATATATATGTGCACATTATATGTGGCTGTTGCTCCTTTGCTAAACGTTTACTGTAACTTTTGGTAGGATATCCATCTAATCCCAAAAACACGTTTAAACCATGGTTGAGTATGATTCACAACCACCAATCAGTGAAGATCAGTCGTCCAAGACTCTCCTTTTGCGCCTCCGCAAAGCGTTCAATGTTGAAAGGATCCAGCGGATTCTTCCGGAGCATCGTGCTTCGACCGGAGCCGTGCCCAACATCTGCCTGAACTTCGGCAATGCGCCAGAATGGTTCCTTGTAGGTTTTCCTTAAACCAATCAATTGATATTTTACCCAAACAGTTTTGCGGCTTCATCATTTTGACCAACTCATGAAATGCGTGTGTTTTTGGTTGCAGCCTGCCAAGTGGCGTTGGTCCGTACATGTTAATACATGTTAATACCCATTCCGGGTCAATCCCAAATCATGAAATACTGAACCCTCTATGTTGGAATGTCAGAATGCTGATGCAGGGCTACAATGGCTGGGGCAGGTTCAAACTAGCTCCGAAAAAACAATCTGATCTCCGGGGTGCAAGTAAGTGGATGGACACACCACCTGGTCCACCTTTCAAGTGTAAAGCACCTTTCTCCGAACATACCCAGTCATCATCCTGAGTCTCCTCACCACCATCCATCCCTTTCTCCACGTGGCTATTTTCGTCAAAACCCCGGCACCCTAGGTACCCGTAAGTCATAGCTGCTGAATGGATGCTTACTCCCCAAGTCAGAGTCAGAGGTAACTTAACTTGACCCATCCCCTCGCCATGGTACAGGCACACATCCTTCCGAAAAGGTCTTGAAGCTCCTGCTGTTCCTTTCCTTCGGCTCCTTCGGCTCCTTCGGCTCCTCCGGCGCCAACGCGCCGGGCGCGCTGGGCCGCCGCTGGTCGCTGCGCTGCAGCATCGCGCGGCCTGCGCTGGCCACGGTGGCGGCACCGGGATGTGGGGAGCTTTGCTGGCCGGGCCTGGGGCCTGGATGGCCTGTGCCGGGGATGCTAGGGCAGGGCGGTATGGGTTGAGAAATGGAAGAAATCAATGGAAAGATGTGTCGAGATGTTGGCTGTTACAAATATATATATATATATTATATATATAAAATAATATATATAATATATATATATATGTGATAAATTATACGCATATATATATATATAATATATATATATATGCGTGTGTATCACATCATACTTGAATGGTGGAACAGGTCTCAAGTTGGGACCGGGACTTGAGGCCACTACCTCAATGGGTCCAAAGGGGAATGGCGGTGGACTTACGCTTATCCTCATATATCCAAAGTATGCACCACTCTTTCAACTGAACAGATTGTGAACTTGAAAGTTGCTCATTTATAGATTGTTATTTAAGGCATTAAAAAATGTTGATTTTCCATAACAATGTTAAATTATGTTAAATTATAACTTTCAAAAGAGTGCCATCTGTAGGTGTTAGCCAGATTGCATGTGCATCTGTCTGTATTGTGCGAATCTTCGTCAGTCCATGCCCTTCGAAACAAGAACCACCTAGAAAGATGCAGACGCCAATCAAGTGACTTGGAATATGCCAAATTTGCAAATGTGTGCTGCAACTCTAGCACATCTAGATGATCTTGAACATTCCCTCTCCAATCAACAAGGTGACGGTTGGTCCAGAAACGTGATTCCATTCAATGCAGCTTTAATCTTTGGTACGACAAACAACAAATCAAGTTTAGAGATAAGAAACTTCTTTGAGGAACACCCATAAATGCCAAGGACGTGCATGAGTTTCACCCATAGACAGCTGCCGCCAAGTCTCTGTTTGACAGCGTCTTTGACGCGAATGCGGCACCCCGGCGGGGTGCAGCCACCTGAAGCGTGGAGGCTGCAGCCACTGGGTCTGCAGATTTTCTGGTTTCAGTTCTTCATCCATAGCCACAACTGATGTATGTAATATAATATATATATATACATACATTACATACATACATACACGATATTGTTGCTTCATACATGTCCCATTATATCCCCATCATATCCCCACTATATCCCTATTATCTTTGTCTACAACCCAAGTTTGTCCAGGATTGCACCCCAAGTTTTGATCATCATGGGCATCTCACAGCAAAGGATCCAATACTAAACCAGGCTTTCATTTGGGGGGGCCGTTTTTCATATCATATTGGCTGTATATTCCCAGTTTAAGGATCGTAAAAAAAAAAAAACATTTTAAACCACAATGTTTCATAGTTGCATCACCAGTTCAGTCCAATATTTAGATCTTAACCATTTGTTTGGTTACATCCCCATCTGATAGATCTCGCATAGCCCATAATGGAGACAATCCGCAGTGTGTATATACACATAATGTAAAGACATATTTATATATATATATAATGTTATATATATATGATATTAAATATATCATATATATAAATAATATCATATATAATATAACATTATATATATATAACATTAAATATTTAACATTATATATATAACATTATATATGTATAAATATATATATATATACATATATGTATATATATATATATTGATATCTTTTGATGAGTACCATCCCCCGAATATGGAGCTTTGGGTCACACTGTTCAGGTGAAAGGCACCAGTCCGCTCCAGACCCAATCGCCTGGCCCAAGGGGGGTCGACTGCGTCGGCTAGGCGTCGGCAGGGCGTCCAGATTTTTCGCAGCAGGTTTGGCCGAGGACTCCAGCAATGCCATGTTTATGGAATGCCTGGGATGTCGGATTTCACAGCTGATCTTAGGGTTCTATGGGAATTTATGGGGTCTGAAGATGTCTGAATGGGATTTAACATGATCTAAGAAGCTTTTATCGGGTTTTATGATGTTTTATGGGGTCTTAATGGGATGTTGTGTTTTGAGAAGGGTTTTAACTATGTCAAACACATGGAAGTATAGTCTTCGAAACTCCCCTGTTGATGGGTTAATGTACAGGACAATGAACTGAAGGGTTAGTGTAGGAGATTATGAACTAAGCGTAACTAACCCATACGACAATTTTCATAGGATACCTATTTACCAACGTTGTATTTTCTGCTACGGGAGAGGGGCACTTTTCATGACTCAAATGATTTTTCAGGTGATGGAAGCAGCGTGGGCGCAGTTTTTGATAAATGGTATGAATACGTCATGTGATGTATACCGTCATATTCTGCGGTATCAGTAAATGGTATCAGTAAATGGTGCTGTCATCTTAAGTTCTGTAAGGTATGTATGTATTATATTATATTATATTATTTTATTTTATTTTATAATATATTATATTATATTATATTACATTACATTACTGTATATGATCTGATGCAGTATGAAATATCTGCAGGGTTCTGAAGGTGATGTTACTCAACCTCAAAAGGCATCGTGTCAAGTTGCCAAACATGATGGGAGATCATGGGATGATGTGTCCAATCGTCCATACATAAAGTGTAGAATGCCTATGAATAATTATGAATATCTATAAGCGTTCGGAAGAAGGTATGTTATACGTATATATATATATATACATAAGTTGATCAGTGCTATTCGGACAGCGATTTTTCTTCACTGACATTTCTTGACACCGATAACCATGCATACACCTAGGATACCTACGATATGCAAGTCAAGGTGTCACACTCTTGTGTGGTGTTCCTGTTTTAATCATCAATTTCCCTGGTTTGTCAGTCTTCACTACGGATAAAGATGTTTTTCAAGAGCCAATAATTCTAAACGGCTTCCTCCTGGCTCAAGCAGATACATTGTAGATGGTATGCGATGCTGGAGTGTAGCTCATGAGCATTTTTGTAGTGAAATCATCACGAACAATGGATGCGGTACACACTTAAATGGGGAAATGTACCCAACAAATATCAGGACCACAGTCATGGGGATTGTATGGAGCCATGAAAATATCACCGTTTCTGAAACGCCTACTGTACTGTACCAGGAATATACAATAAACCAAAAAAACACTTCAAATATGGTACATGGCGTGTGCAGTAGAGGCAAGCAACAATTGGGATATCAGTAGCTCATGGAAAGATGAATCCAATCATTTAAGAGAAAACATTTTCAACCCCAGAGAATGGATTTGGGAAATGGAATCACATCTTGACAAGAGCATCCTCTGGAACTGAACCCAGAGATTGCAGTGAGAAATCTCTTCCAAATCAAGGCTGAACTTGCCCACAGCGAGAATTTGAATATCTGATATTTTTGTACAGGTTCAACTATTGCTGGTATTCAAGAGTATATACTGTACCTTGAAATCAAGTCCAAATGATCGGGGACAACAAAGAGAATTTGCAAGACACCTTTACTGGTTGGTGGTCTCAACCCCTCTGAAAAATATTCGTCAATTGGGATGATTATTCCCAGTATATGGAAAGTCATAATCCAGCCATGTTCCAAACCACCAACCAGTACCTCACTTTTTCAATACTTTTCCTGCTCGCTGGCTTCACCGATTCACCCATGGCCCCTGGTACCAAGCCACTGGTACCTCTCAAGCCAACTTGTTGCAGCCCCTGTGGCCAGCGCGTTGCTCAACGCGCGGCCGGTGCTTGAACAGCCGGCCGGTTGCAACATGTTTGCCAACAGGTGATCAAACATGATCAAACTGGCAATGCTATGTGCCAATTTCAAGTGGCGCGATGAATGTGGTGCTTGGAACTTCCAAGGGCCATTCTATTCATATTCTGGCGTTATGGCGTACAAAATGTTGGTGTGGAAACTTCAGTGGTCAACATAGCGGTGAACGAAAGTCTATCTTATGAAGTGGCTACTGCCCACCCGCTAACCCTGTTAAAAATGATCATCCCGGAAGGGATGGTTTTTGCAGGAACACACAGAACTAAACAAAGAGATCTGGAGAAAATTCCCTTGGAATTTCAACTCCCAAAATTTGAGTGTACCAAAATTTGGGGATGTTCCCCCATAGATCTTCTTCCGTCCCGTGACCACGGCTGAGTCTTTTTGCCTAAGTCGATTGGAGGAAAATGATGGGCTAAAGCTTGGATGCGCTTCCAGCCACAGCTAGGTGCAAGTTGGTTCACCACCAAAGATCCCAGGTCTATGCAGATCTCATACCTTGGATCATCAGCATTGGTCTCAAGATTTCCCAAAAGATAGCTTCCAACTGAGCAGCTCAGCCATGCCAGCCATGGGTGAACCAACCGCATCTGCGACTGTTCTTGGAGCCTAAGGCTGCCAAGCCCGACCCTGCAGCCGGGAGGTCGCCGGAAATCCTTCAAGGAACTCTTGGCCGAGGGACTGCTTTTGTGTGAACGCCAAGATTTTGGGACAATAACAGCCAAGGTCAACGGATCAACTTCATTAAACTTCTATCTGTGCAGATTTTGAACTCTCCGGGAACATGATCTTCCCAGTCTGTGTCTCAGTGGTTCACGGTTGTTCCGAGATTCCATGAGCTGGCCCCTGGTTTGTCACTAATGCTTTTGGAAGTTGCTGCACAAGTAACTACTTGTAGTTAACTTGTTCAATCAATCTATATAATGGGATGCAAAAACCATATGTTCTAAATAATGTTAAAGAAACTTATATATCTATATATATATATATTCAGTTCTGGCAATTGCTTCGGTGGGAATAAATAACAACAAGTTATATCCCTCCAAAACCAGATCAACAATTATCTTGAGCAAACTCTGCATGCATTTGTAAAAACACATGGGCCAATCAAATTCGTTCTGAATTTCTCCAAACGGTTAGAAGATTCGCATCTTCTGTATCGAAATCACCAGGAATCAATGAAAGAATGTGCATACACAGCGAGGGTTTGAAACAATATAAAGGGTTGTCACCCTTGTCACCTCTGGGACTGGCACCGGTGCAAAAAAAACTTCCAAAAGTAAACAAATATATTGATGAAACATGAGAAATGTAAAACTCATTCAAAAGTTTAGAGAAACATATTATTCCAAACCTCCCAATGGGTTGAATGAGCGGGGGAAGGCCCCGCCGGGCGCTGATCAAGATCAACATCAAGAATGTTCGAGAGTCAATAAGTAAGTACACTATACACTAATATACACTATACAAGATATGCACGAAACCAATGCATTTTTGAATTGCTCGCATGCACAGTTTCTGCAAAACCACTTAGAAAGCTGTTTGGATGTGAGTCTCTACCGAAGTTTTGAGGATGTGTCCAGAAACTTGAAAAATACTACGATGTAACCGACAATGAAACACAGCAGTGGACGGGGAAGTTTTGATGTGGTCATCAATCTTTGAAATGCAGGTCCCCAGACAAATTGTCAAAAGTTCCAATGCCTCTTCCATGATTGAAAGACTAGAACGGGCGTCCATGCTTGTGTGGACACCAGCAAGGATGTTCAAGGATAGACTGGCTAGCGCCTTTTGCGCGGAAAAACGCTTGAGGGCTTTGTCTGCCTCGAGCGTAACGGCAGCATTCTCCACGATCTGTTCCAATGAGATCTGCTCCATGTTCAAACAAATTTGAAGGCAAAAAGGCAGCCTCAATGTCAGCATAACCAACCCTTTAAAAAGCTGCTGCAAACATCTTCGAATGACAGGGTTTGCAGGTGTGCATTGCTGCTCAAACTTTTTGCATCCGATCTGATCGAAACTCACCGCGGAAAAATCGAATCGCGATTTCATTTCATGAAGTGCGGACGCCGCCTGAGCGTAGCGTTGGCCTCTTCAAAATGTCACGTTGGCTGATGTCAGCAAGTTTGGGAAGCCATTCCCAGCCTCGTTGCCAGCAAAGCAAGTCATGGTCATGTGGGCTCCAAACAGAAACACTGAGGATTGAGGGGAGCCCCTATGGCACCCTCAGAATCGATTGAGATGGTGGAAGATGCCCAGAACTTAAGCAACTTTGATTGTTTGTGCAATGACTGCGGATTGTATCCCGCCCTGTTCTTAGTAAATGGACATAAGTAGTCCTTAGTCATGACCTTCTGTCATCCACATGCTGTAAGCATATCTATTGATCGAGTCACACGCTTTGGTGGCAAACCACTATATTGGGGGGCAAACTCCCATCTTGGCTGGTCACACATTCCCATGTTTGGATATGTTTGGTTCATTTGTTCCCCGCATGTCCCAAGACATGAGCAGGTTAAAGAAGGATGGCATCGCATGGTTCCTCTTCAATGGTTGGCTCGCTTCATAACCAGTTTAAGTCAAGCCACTAATCATGTGGGTGTACTCCATTCAATATCAATGTATCTCAACGAATATAACTATACTGACTACGCACATGGCTGTTCATTTCAGATCCCTGGTTTTCACCCAATTCCCATCGAATTCCCATCTCAATCCATTTTCCTGAACACCCAAATACAGTATGCATATATATATATATACATACCTACAGCTTCCAAAACCTACTTTTTTTTGGGTTGCCATAAAGACTAGTTGTTTTTTCAAAATAACAAGTTTTTTGCAGCAAGCCATTTGGTTACGGGAAATCACAAGTAAATTACAGGAAATTACGGGTAAATTACGATCAAATTACGGGTAGACATTTGGAAAACCAGGTTTTTCAATCTTCAAAAGCCAGGTTTTTAGATTTCAACCGAACAAAAGTGGGTTAAGGGTGCCATAGGTATACACGTGTTTCTATATATAGTGTGCGCAATCACTCACACTCTTCAGTAGATAGAATATGGAAACTCCAGGTCCATGTTCCATTTTTGGTGCTTTTTGGAAGCCTGAAATTCTACGCCAGGATGCCATTGGGATACCTACACTGACCACCATGTCATTTTTGTTACGTTCCGAGGCGAGGTTTTGGTAATAAAAATCCTTGGGTACAAAAACACGTTTTAAGTTATATAAGCTTATTCCTATCATTTCCATGTTGTAGAAACATATTTGCAAATTATGTATACATTCAATCCATTCATGTAATATGTATGTATAATGTCAATAATTGTATATATATATATATATATTCTGGCTGAAAGAAAAACCATGTCGGGATGATTCCCCTTACAAACCAGCTTGGAAAGTCCCCGAACCTCCTGGAAGTTTACTAAACCAACTTCTGTGCCCTCGAAACGCTCCAGCGCTGAGTTCGAGAAACAAACAACCAAACAACCAATCATCATTTCCAATTATCAATTGTATATACTGGTCGTTGATCTTAGTATATAACCACCATGAACAAAATATGAAAAATCATCCGCTATCCCACTATATTGATCCACTTACCCTTTGGTAAATTAACATAGACCCTGGCAAATAGGACTTGGAAGATTAGTTTCCATTAAACATGTGAAAATGGGTTATTTTCAGGGTCTATGTTAATTTACCAGAGGGTAAGTGGATCACATATATATATATATATATATATATATATAATTGAGGTCTATATTGATCCACTTATATCACACATATATATATATATATATCCCTATAAATATACATAAAGATATAACATATATATATATATAAATGGATACAAGATGTGTCTATATTGATCATCCCTATTGATCCACAGAATATGATGCAATATCACATATAAATCATACATCCCTATAAATCCACTGAAATTTCACCGAGTCGCTGTGGCCGCTTGCGGTGGATGCTTCGTGACGCGGCCCGCCCCGGCCTGGCCGGCCTCGGCCTCGTTGAACGGGGCCTCGGCGAGAAGTCGCAGGGCGAGCTGGACCTTTGGATGGGGAAAATCGATGAAAATCTGGGGATTCAATGGGAAAAATTGACGTTTTTTTTTTAATGAACTAAGGATTTAAGATTGATAAAGATAGATGAAACTGCAGATTGGTTTCTAAATGTTTCTAAGAACTAAGGATCTCTGGATGCTGGTTTCTATAATGAACTATGGATACCCATGATACCCTCCGGGTGAATTTCACAGTTTGCTATGGAAACTATAGCTCGTTTATAGATATAGATTCTTTACCTATCAATTTGTCAATCATGATGGTTTTTTCGCGTATTTTCCAAAGCCATGTTAATTAAGTCAAATTACCAGGAGGTAAACCATGATGAACTATGGATAAAGTATGATGAACTGCGGGGTAGCCCATTTTCAGACTCAATGTTGAGAACCGGTTGCTGAATAATAATTTTGGGGTGTTTCTTAAAGTTCCCACAAGTTTTAATGGGCAGGAGTCATCCAGATGAATAAGATCTATCACTAAACCCCAAACTGAACTCAAGGGCATGTATCATCCATTCCACAATTTTTCCCTAACATCATCAAAGGTTAATCATATGAAACATCCCATCTTCACTATTAATTCCACCAGCTAATAATTATATTGTAATTCTATCCCATATTTGCCATTCATCCTAAGCCATTCCACTCACTGGTTCATTAATAGCAATTTTCCCACTAACATAGCCATTCCTCAGTCTCAGACACAACCATATCTGTTACCCTCTGGTAAACTAACATAGCTATTGAAAATGGCCATTTTAAGAATGGTGCTTTTCCATAGTTATGTGAGTTTACGAGAGGGTATCCAATATATATATATATATATACTTATATATATATATAATTATATATATAATGATATATATATATATATATCATAAATATATATATATATATATCATATAAATATATATATATATATCAAATATCATGGTGAAATTCTTAAAACATGCCCAGGCGTTTGAAGCAAGTGACACTCGCAGCAGGTGCAGCTGCAGGTGCTGCTGCGGGCACGGCAAAGCCGGCCACGCGGCGCAAGGGCCGCGTCTTGCCCGTGCAATGGTTGATCCTAAGCAACCGTCGTGGGTGCCATATGGTGCCACGAATGACCCAGAGAAACTGGGAGCGAACCGAAATTGGAGATGGAACATCCATTTATCTCAAAGTCAGGATGGAACTAAGAAGCGAATATTACAAAATGAAGTGTCCCAAACTGACAAATGTGGAATATATGAACTGGCAAATCATCTGAAACACGCATCCCAGTGGCAGGGGTGAAAGGCCTTTGTGCATGTCAAGCTGAGGCCATTGTCTTTAAAGTGTTGAGAACTGAGAAATCTCCTGAAAGGAATATGCTTCTCTATTTTGAGTGCCTTAGACATCACGGCAGCGTTGTTTCT